ATCAGAACATCACCAATACCTTAAGCTGCTAGAGTATTGTCATTTGCAAATTTCACCATGTTCTTCATTGAGGGCTTTATGTTGACAAACCAATCTTTCCTTCCAATCATGTGTGATGAACATCTTGAGTCCAAGTACCATTGGTTCTGAAATCTTTCTTTATCTCTTGTTGTGACCATCAACAACATATCTTCTTCTTCATGTTTTGCCAGCTTTGCATCAGTTTCTTGATTCTTCTTCTTTTCTAGACAATCAATAAAGTAGTGATCACACTTTTGACAATTGTAACACTGAATGTGACTTTTGTGAGGTTTTTGACCACCACCTCTTCCTTTACCTGCAACACCACCTCTTTGATTGCCTTGGTTCTAGGATTTTCTCTGATTCGACCAGCTTCCTTCCTGTTGATTTCGACCAGTCGAATTGTTTTAGCCTCCTCTGCCTTTGTTGCTATTCCAACTTCCTTTACCTTTCTTTTATTTTTATGACTGCGCCTGCAAAACCATATCACTCTTCAAAATTCTTGTAGCTATTTTAATCATCCTTTTCTCATGAGACTCAAGCGTCCCTTGAAGCTATTCGTTCGTTAATGCTGACAAGTCTTTCGACTCTTCTATGGCTACTACCACATGGTCGAACTTTGGAGCCATTGACCTCAAGATCTTTGCAATAACTGATCTTGATGTCAACACTTCTCCATATACCTTGATTTGATTCACTAGTTTAATAACCCTAGTGAAGAAATCAATTATGCTTTCACTTTCTTCCATCTGAAGCAATTCATACGTCCTTTTGTGAGTTTGTAACCTCACATCTTTCACCTTTTTTGCGCCTCCAAATGATTTCTCCAATATTTCCCATGCTTTTTTCACTGATTATGCACCATGTTGAAATTTATATTAATTTTAATATAATATTAAAATTATAAGTGACACACCCATTTAGTAACCCAAAAAAGGAAAAATGTTGTTATTGGGATTAAAAGCCTGTATGACTTGGCCTATCACTACAGTTATATATATGGACCGTAGTAAAATTTCTTTTAATAAAAGAAAAAAATGCAGACGCCTAAATAAGAGCTCTTACTCCAGTTGACTTAATAGTCGAGGTACTAACATGTTACCTTATGTGTGTTTTATAGTAGTGACATGAATTAGGAGGCGTGTTAGAAGATGTAATTTAATGTTTTAGAAGGAAAGTTGTATTCGACTTGGTTGTGTTAGACAACATAGTCGAAGTAAGCTAAGTAGAAGCAAGTTGTGTTCGACGGAGTCAAATACTACACACGTGTTAAAGTGTGTAAGTATTCGACAAAATTGAATATTGTAGTGTATATATATATATATATATATATATATATATATATATATATATATATATATATATATATATATATATATATATATATATATATATATATATATATATATATATATATATATATATATATATATATATATATATATATATATATATATATATATATATATATATATATATATATATATATATATATATATATATATATATATATATATATATATATATATATATATATATATATAAAACAATGAAAATAAAAGAACGAACTTCTTAATAACAAAAATCCCTTTTATAATATAGTTTCTTTCTTATCCATCCTTTCATTCTTTTTCTTGAATAATCCTATTTATTCTAACACTTTTATTTAAAACATCACAACTTGAACAAACCTATTCATATTCTATAATTACTTTAGAAACTAAAGCAAATTTTATTGAATAATTTGACCTTTGGTAAAGACACATGACATTAATATATTTTTACTATTACCATTTTTTCAAGAAATATTCAACCTTTTTTAAGGACATGCGATAGACAACAACAAAAAACTAATTATTATGTTGTTCTTTCAAATACTGGGCGACTATTTACCACAATGAGACTGATTTTCCTCTTAAACATGTGATGAACATCGTTGAAGCTTGTATGCTTTATTCTTTTGTTTTTAACTCATAAGTAGAATATGTTCATGCATCATTATCAATATGTAGTCTCTATATTCCTAAGTTAGTAAATCCTTAACCTTCTTATCTGTTATTGAAATTTAATATAACTTTTCATAAATTACTGATTGGAAAAACAAAAATTAATTGCTCATTGTTATGCTTTTGATTAAACTGTTACTCTTCCTGATTAACAACAAATGTGTAACCCTGTTATAAAATCATAAAACACCTTAACCTCGGGTATCCAAACCAAATAAATTTGATTTTCTTTTATTTCTGTTGAAATTAACCCAAAACCTTTTAATAATTCCTAATTAATCTTGATTTCAAGAAAGATTATGTGCAACAACTACTAATGTAAAGAAAGAAAGAGTTTGACAAAATTAAAGGAAGAAGAAAATGATTTTCAACTATAGAGTATCCACCCATAAATTGTGGAAAACTTCTTTTATTCACTTTACAATTGCAAAAAACTGTGAATACAAGTTATTACAAAATATGAGTTACTCCCTCTATTTATAATAGAAGAAAATCTAAATTTACAAAGGCCTAAAATTATTACTTTGGTCTAAGTCAAAATTTTGTGTCAAGCAAACTGCTTCGACACTTTGACATCTAAACGACTCTACGCACACACGTTAGGCTAATTTGACACTTCGACATCAAAACGACTCGACACACGTACATTAGACTTTAACACAAGGAATTACAATCTCAACAATTTCAATATCACTTTAGGTGTATCCATATAAGTTATTGTTCCAACACCTTTAACAATGGATTATGTTTATGCTGCCAATGAGTATCAACTAAATTTTGGTGGTTGAATGGTAAGAATATCACCTATCATCTCAAGGTCAAGTGTTTGAATCCCTTGCGCTTCAGAATTATTATAACTTATATTTGGGGAATAAAAAAAACAAAAAAATAAAAAAGGGAAAAAAGTTACAATTAAGTTTAAATTAAATATATTTTTCTATTTTTCATATTTATAAGATAATTTAGGATTCGTGGTGTGCATGATATGATAAAAACATGACAGAATATAAAGCAGAATAATGATAACATATGTTATAGACAGGATAAGACTCATCCTATCATGTGTTTGATTCACGTAAGATACTATATATATATATATATATATATATATATATATATATATATATATATATATATATATATATATATATATATATATATATATATATATATATATATATATATATATATATATATATATATATATATATATATATATATATATATATATATATATATATATATATATATATATATATATATATATATATATATATATATTTATATTTATCTTTGTAAAATAACTCCATTTTTCCAAGTTATTTTTGTAAAATATTTATAAATCTATAAAGTGATTAAAAAATTAAAAATTTTGTATAATTTAAAATAAAATTTATAGATACTACTCAATAAACAATTTCAGTTTTTCTTGAAAAAGATCACAAATTCAATTATACATGTTAGATAAGCAAAATAAAGGTATGTATTTATAATATGTAAATGAAAATATATTTAAATTTGATAAAAAAGATTAAAATTAGTGTTTATATTTTTTAAATTTTAATAATTATTTTAAATATTCCAATTTATTAGGTTTTAATTTTTTATATTATATAAAGTTAAAAATCTTTATTACTTTAATATCAAATTAATATTTTTTATATTTTATCATATTTATTAATATTTTTAATTTAATATCAAATTAATATAGATTTATATTTTATCATAATTAATTTTTTATTTTAAATTAAATTCATAAATATAAATAAATTAATTATTTTCTTATCTAGCCTGCTGAATTCTAAGCTAGCTCATACTCACTATAAAAATTTAAACTAATGATGCATAATAGGTTAAATTGGAGGATTAACTTATCATATCTTATTGCGTCATCGAACATATAATTGAGATAAAAATGTGATGCACATATTCAAATGAATTCTTAATCGTTAACTTTATTGAACACTACATACTAGATAACTTTTAACTATGTGTAAAATATAATTATTCTTTTGGAAAATAAAAAAAAAAGATTTCTTAATGCGCCTTATATGCTTCTTAGATATCAGACAAAAATTTGAAAATATCCTAAACTTTTGGAGATACATTTTCAAACGCATCTTATGTAATAAAACTCACTTGTTTTTGAGCTATACCCCATTTCAATGATTTAAATTTTCTAAAAATGTATTTTCAAAATATTTCCGGACATACATTTTCGAAATTAAAATGAACACTAATGTTATAAATGTCGGTAAATCAACACTTGCTAATACCTTGCATCTAGTGAGGAGAATTAGTGCAGTAGGTGTTCAAATTAATAGTATATTTTTAATGAAATGAATTTCTCAACTTTTGAGAACACTAGTGGATGCATGCTCACAAAATTTCAAATTTATTTATTACTTTATTAGTAATTTTTTGGTTTGTCGTGTTTATTTTAATTTTGAAAATATATTTTTGAAGATATTTTAAAAATATATTTTAAAATAATTTAAATCATTAAAATTAATTTTAATTTAAAAATGAATGGGTTATATTACATGAAGCGTTCGAAAATAAAATTCTGAAAATTAATAAATATTTTTAAATTTTCACATGATATTTAAAAAACATATAAGGTGTATTAAAAAATGCTAAATTAAAATACTTGATACTATTGGGCTTCCTATCCGGCGAAGTTGGGCTTTTCTTTTCCACAACTTGACGTAGATAAAAACGGCGTCGTTACGATTGAAGAAAACAAAGAAAACAGAGACTCTTGTTATTTAGAATTGGAGAACCTTGAAGTGCTTTTTTGGCTTGTTAATTTCATCTCTCATATCATAGCAACTCAACAAATCTAATCAAGGTATCAATGTCGAACTTTGTTCTTTAATCACTTTTTTCCCTATAATTTTCTAGGGTTTTTCCTTTCTGATTTGATTATTTATACGAATAGGGATTTGATCTGAAACTAGTTAGTGAAGCGTAATGGATTTGTCGGCGGTGACGGCGGCACTGGGAATAAAATCGTACGACAAAGTTGCCGATATCTGTGACAATCTCATGCTTCAGGTTGCAGCGGACGGTGTTGCTTTTCACAATGACTGGCCCTACGCCGTTCATCTTCTCTCTCACTTTTATGTTCATGACATGTAATCATCTATTTTCACTCTTCATATTTTATCATTCATCATGTATTTATAAATAATTCTGTGAAATTTACAACCACGAACATAGGCGACACTGAGAATAATTTGAAAAAATGAATAAATTAAATGTAATCACACGTTTTGGTGTCGTTTCAGACACTGACACGGACACGCTTTTCTTTAGAGGTGTCCGTGCTATAGAGCATTAGTTACTGTGAAACTGATATATTGGTACTGATGTAATCTCTATTTTACAATTGACAATGAGTCCGTTTGAAGTAACTTATTTTAGCTTAACTAATGATATAAGCACTTGTGAAACTATATGAGATTTCTTATGAAAACAACTTATGACATGCGGGTGCTAGAGTGGAGTTGGTTTATATAGCTTATATGAAACAAATTTTTGTTATAGAAAGAGTTATAAGTAAGTACACATATGAGATGTGCTTATGCATTTAAATAATCTGTTTATCTAAACAAGATTAATATTTTTGGAAGGGATGAGGTTGGTTATATTTTATGTCTTCCACTTTTTGTTCACTTTTAGGTTTTCATGGTTTTTGTGGTATTGCAGCAACAGTGCTCGTTTTCTATGGAAAACTATACCTTCCTCGATCAAAGAAAGCAAACCTGAAGTCACTGCTGTGTGGAAAATCGGTCAACAGCTTTGGTTACGGAACTATGGTGGAGTACATGAGGCAATCCGTGGTTATGAGTGGAGTCAAGAACTCCAAGGCTTCATTTCTGCTTTCTCTGGTAAGCATTTAAGGCTTCGTTGTCATTTTCAGCAGAGTTTTGAACGTCCTTTAGAAAGGCACTCTTGGATCTTCACTTTTTTAAGGGCAGGATTCTATTCACTTTAAATATCTATATAAAGATCTAACTGTATAAGCTGTTACATAAACTTCTAGTTATCTAAATGTTGCCCTTGCCTTTATCGAAACATGTTATATATTGTTAATATTGACAGTAGACTATATTTTATACTAAAACTAAGTCAGACATTTCTGTGTGGGAGGATCAGCAAACCAATTAAAAATTTTGGGATAATTTCTTGAATTTTTCTTTAACTGTAGTCTCTTTTTAAAGGGTATAAATTTCAACCGGAACTATCTTGCTCACAAAGAATTGTTTAGTTCAGTTCTGTTTTTTTCTTCTTCTCTGCATAAGTTTTATTACTCTATAATTTAGGTTTTTTAGCTATTAAGTATGATGATCTCCTGAATTTTGTGTATTAGTCTATACTTTTAGGTATTTTTCTTTACTTTGTACACTGGTTTTTTAGTCTTTACCGCAATAGCATTTTACAGGTGTTAAGAGTCCCACCTTGGGCAATATATGGCTTGAACATGTGCTTATAAGTGGGAACAATCCTCACCCTACAACCCGGTTTTGTAGGAATGTGTTAGGCCTAAACCACATTTCTTAACAAGGGGGGTCGGTGCTATCAAACGTTATCCGAGATTAACAACATAGGTTTACATATTATGCTATGGATGGCTAACCATTGGCTAAAAAATATTATTGGGTCTTTGCCCTAGCAGCACTACTGTATATCTGGTTTTCAAGATAGTTACATTTTACCGTAGTATGTTATGGATAGAAACAATTCACAAAAAGATGGCTGGATAATAGTGTTATATAGTTTGAACTTAGAAAGAACCATGATTAGTCACCTATTTTTGACTGTCATCTTCCTCTTTACATATAACAAAACATGAAGTTAATAATCTTCCTCATTACATATATAACAAAACAAGAAGTTGATAAATAAACTAGCTTCTTAGGCCAACATGTACTGTTGATGAAGGTGCGATGGATATAAAAAATTTAGTACACTAGTAATCTACCACTTCTTCAATTGTTTTTGGATTCATTTTATAAACAGGTTGAGTGCATGAGTCTTTTGCATCTATGTTTTTTTTTTCTTTCTTTCCGAAGTTGGTTAGTACAGTGCAAATGTTAATGCCAATTTTCTGTTTCCAGAACTTTACACAAAGGAGGTTTTTCAGCTGCTTGTATCTGCTTATTCTACAATAAGTATTGAAGATGCTGCTTTATTTCTGGGAATGAGTAAGGATGATGCTACAAGTTGTAAGTAATTTCAGATTCCTTTTTAAATTAAACAATGCATATCTATTTTTTTTTAGCACCCCTTGGATCATAAACAACGCAGACCTGATCTAAAAAATTAAAATTTAATAACATCCACAAGCAATCAGTGTTTTTTTTTATGCTTTGATCGGGGTCAACATTTCGAGGCAAACATTATTTCCGCTTGAGTAGGCCGAGTTTATTAATGCTCGGACCCTATCCTTTCTTGGGGAACTCTTGAACTGAAAATACTCCTTTGAATCTTGAATAGTAGAGATTGGATGTTGATTACATTTTGTGCTTGGATTGAGAAATCAGGAAACTTATAAAAATTACACTTAAAGCCCAAACCAACATGATTATCGACACTCGACGGTGAATTTGTGCTGTCGAATTGCAGCGCTATAGCACCATAACTAGCAGCATTTTGACAAAACACCATTGTTCCATGATAAATAATTTAGTACAAGTGTTGTTGAGTTGCAGCTACAGCTGCAGTATAATGCTATAGTGCAGTGTAATTTGATCAATCTGCTATTTTCTGCAATCTACGATTGACAACACTGGCGAATCTGGCTGGTTATAGGAGAACATGAAAATCTCTTACAAGTTACATTATGCGTTCCAAAAAAACTGCAACCTCTGCTGGCTTTTTAAAAATTCATCAAGGATTATATTATATCAAAACATGTCCTCCCTTCCTATGATATCATTATTATTAAATTTTTTGATTGCATGATTGTAGATGTACTACAGCAAGGTTGGACTGTGGACTCTTCCTCTGGGATGCTAACTGTGAAGAAGCAACCTGTTGTGACAGAGCAGAAGCTAGATCCTCGTAAACTGCAACAGCTGACAGAATATGTCTTTCATCTTGAGCATTGAAGCTATTTAATCTTGTGAAGGAATTAGATTACTGTACTCCAAAACTCATCCTCATTGATCAATCACATGATCTATCTTCTTAAAAGTGTATGATTGTTCATATATCCTGTTGATAGTTTTCGAAAACCAGGCAGAATATTTCTTGAGTTGTTACTTGAGCACTGGTTAGGTTAATTTTGCATTGCACTTACTCGGTAGTTATTGAAAATGACTTCTCTTGCATGACAGTGAAACAGTAAAAAATTTGCAAGTGGAAATGAAATTTGACGAGTTAAAAATAGTTATTAGCTCATACACGACGGGGCAACGGCGACATCGGCAATAATTAAACAAAAAAAAAAATTGATCATAATTGCATTTTGGACATTATATATGCTTTTGTTCAAAGGTGTTAGATGTATAGTGATTCTTACAGGCATAGAGTTGTTTGTTTCACACACACTCGTTAAGTAAATTTTTTTAAAATGATTGATTTATAAGATGGCGATTGTTTTCACTCATTCGTAATATAATCTTATATAATTGAATTTTGTAAGATGGCAATTTTTTTCACTCGTTGGATATAATTGATTTTTGTAAGATGGCAATTGTTTTCACTCATTCGATGTGACATGACTCTATGACTCTTTAAGAATATGTTTCCGCGGAACATTGCAACTAGACTGTGAAAACAAAATTCTATTCTCCAATATTCAACAACGACCTAAACTAATTGGTTGTCTCAATTTCTCAACTTGAAGAATCAGCAAGAAAATTTAATTACCAAAAGAAATTATGCATAACCAAAAGCATTGTTCAGAATTAAATATAATGTTTCAGCCTAAAGCTATTTCAAAGTATCAAAAGACTATACTACTGTTAAAATGGAACCTATATTGTAAAAACCTATCTAAAGTTAGCTTAGCTTCTAACACAAGTCAATTATCAATGTAACCTAATTCTTATCAAAGGGAGCTACATCAACTATAGGATCTGTAACTCTATACAATTCTTCAACATATCGAATCCTCTTTTTCTTCCTCCTTAATTCTTCATCTTCTTCTATCTCTGCCAACACATCCTCAACCGAATCACCACCAGGTGACGAAGGTGAAATATCATCACTACCCTTACACTCTTCCAGCTTCCATTGCAAAGTCACACTATTGCTGCTATAGCTATGGCTATGGCGATTGTCATCCAAGCAAGTTGTACCAGATTGAGTCTCTCCATTGCTATTGCTAAGCTGTATCAACTGTTTCGCTATGTCAATCTCCATTTCAGAAAAAGAACCAAACTTGTTTTGCTCGGTATTCTTGTTCTTGTTCTCGAGTGCCATTGAAAGGGACAGAGATTATTATGTGAGAACCAAAACAAGGGTCGCAGGTTATATACTATAAGGTTTTTGTTTTGGTACGATGTTTTTTGTTGGTTTTATTTTTCTTCTTTTCTGTTTTGTCTTCTCATTTTATATATTTCTTTTCTTAGGACAGGTTCTTCCCAATTTCTGATATTGCTTTTTCTCTATTTGGTAAATTTGCTTTATGTTAATTATTATAATTGTAGTTATTGTTTTTCTATTTATGTCTCGATCATGCTTTCTGTATTTGAATCACACGTTAACGTGTCTGGTTCTAAAAAATACTTCACCAAGTTTTCTTAACAAGTCCTTAATTGATAAGGATTCTGATTTTTATATTTTTTCTATAAATATCTTATAAAGAAGACTAAATTAATAGTAATATTTATTATTATAGATAAAATTAAGACCCATTCTATTAGTTTATGAATGAATTCTGATTTTGACTATTTTTCTGATTTTCTTTTAAGGGGAAAAACTTATTAGAATATTAATGATAATTCATATTTATTTAGTTGTACTATTTTCTTAGCCCCTAAGTTTGTTAGAGGGTATTTTAGTATTTATCTTATTCTAGTAACCCTAGTTTTAGCTTATAAATAGGGTGACAATCATTGTAACAATATCATCATGTTTTATAGCCGTCATTCTCTTATTAGTAATATTTCCTATTTCATCATTTATTCTATCTTTGCACCAACAATTGGTATCTAGAGCTCCGGTTCAGATTCATTGGGAAACACGGGAAACACGAGTGAACGTGAGGTCTTGTGTGTTTGATTTTGTTTCTCAGATTCTTGTTGAATCTTGAACAAAATCTGATCAGAATTTTTTAATTCTGTGGGTTGGGAAACACTGTGTGAGAAAACTCTGAGTGTATTGTGCAAAGAAGAAGATGAACGGAAACGGCAACATGAACACCAAACTTCCAGTATTTGACGGTAAAAACTGGAATCGTTGGATGATCCAGATGCGTGTGCTGTTTGGTGCTCAAGATGTTCTAGATCTTGTCACTGATGGTTATGTTCCAGTAGCAGCAGATGCAACTGATGAACAGAAAAACGCGCAGAAGGAAGTAAGGAAGAAGGATCAGAAAGCATTGTTCTTCATTCATCAATGTGTGGATGTAAACGTGTTTGAGAAGATTGCAGACTCTACAACAGCAAAGGCTGCATGGGACACTCTGGTGAGATGTTATGGTGGTGACGCATCAGTGAAGAAGGTGAAGCTTCAGTCCTTGAGAAAGCAATATGAGAATCTCAACATGAAGAATAATGAGAAAGTTTCTGAATATATCTCCAGAGTGATTCTGATCACTAATGAGATGAAGGCATGTGGAGAAACTCTTTCTGAAGAAACAATCATGGAGAAAGTGTTGAGATCCCTTACTCCTCAATTTGATTACATTGTGGTAGCAATAGAACATTCCAAAGATCTGAGCACAATGAGAATTGAAGAGCTGCAGAGTAGTCTAGAAGCGCAAGAGTTGCGTCTGACTGAGAGAAACTCTGAAAAGGAAGTAGAACAGCAGGCTCTGAAAGCAACTTCTGATAGGAGGTATCAGAAGCAGTCAGAAGCCAGGAGAAGATCTGATGGTGGTCAGAAGTCAGAAAGCTCAACCTCTGATAGACAAAAGAATGCTCAGAGGGGAAAAGAGAAGTATGACAAAAGAAAAATACAATGTTACTGTTGTAAGAAGTTTGGTCACTTTGCTAGAGATTGTTGGTCAAACAAGGAGAAGAAATCAGAAGAAGCAAATATAGCCAGAAGTTCTGATGACGAATCTGTGCTATTGATGGCCTCTGAATCTGATGATCTGACAGACTGGTGGTATATGGACACTGGCTGTTCAAATCATCTTACCGGAAACAAGAAATGGCTGGTTGACTTTGACTCTGAAAAGAGAACAAAGATCAGATGTGCTGATGACAAATATCTTAATGCAGAAGGTATGGGAAATGTCAGAGTGACTCTGAACAATGGGAAAATAGCATTGATTCAGAATGTGTGGTATGTACCTGGCATCAGAAGCAATCTGATGAGTGTGGGGCAATTAATTGAGAAAGGTTTCTCAGTTACCATGAAGGACAATCTTCTGAAGCTGTATGACTGTAATCAGAAGTTGATTATGGAGTCAGAACAGGGAAGGAATAGAACATTCAAGGTGAATGTCAGAACTGCAGACTCAGAGTGTCTTAGTGCAACAAGTACTGAGAAGGAGAGTGAGCTGTGGCACAGAAGATTTGGTCATTTGAATTTCAGAAGCTTACAACATCTGAATTCAAAGAAATTGGTACATGGAATTCCTGCAATTAAGAAGCCTGAAAAGTCATGCAAAGTTTGCATGGAAGGAAAACAACCAAGATTGCCATTTGCATCAGAAGTTGCTCCAAGAGCAAAACATGCCTTGGGAGTTGTACATTCTGATGTGTGTGGTCCATTTCCAGTAGCATCAATTGGAGGGAATAAATACTTTGTGTTGTTTGTTGACGAATTAACAAGAATGACATGGGTATCCCTTATAAAGTTCAAACACGAGGTGTTTGATGAATTCAAGAAGTTCAGAATGAAGGCTGAGAATCAGAGTGGTCAGAAGTTGAAGATTCTTAGAACTGATGGTGGAGGTGAGTATAACTCCAAAGAGTTCCAGAAGTTCTGTGAGGAGAATGGAATTGAGCATGAGGTTACTGCTCCCTATACCCCTCAACACAATGGTCTTGCTGAAAGAAGAAACCGCACTCTGCTTGATATGGTGAGAAGCATGCTAAAGGAGAAGAAGCTTCCTCAGAAGCTCTGGGGAGAAGCTGTTGCCACTGCAACGTATGTACTCAACAGATGTCCTACGAAGAAGTTGAAGGAAATAGTTCCTATGCAGAAGTGGACTGGAGACAAGCAAAGTGTTAGTCATCTGAAGGTATTTGGTTCTGTTTGCTATAAACATGTTCCAGAAGCCAGAAGACAGAAGCTGGATGATAGAAGCAAAGTGATGATTCTGATAGGGTACCACAGTACAGGTGCATACAAGCTCTATTGTCCAGAAACCAATAAAATTGAATTCAGCAGAGATGTGATTGTGAAGGAATCAGAAGTTTGGAATTGGGATAAGTCTCAATCTGATTCTGATGTTAGAACCTCTGAAGAAAGGCCAGAGTTAAGAATTTCTGAAGTTGAAGTAAACCCTGACGTTGACTCTGACTCTGATACTGATTCAAACTCTGAAGATGACTCAGAAGATGAAGGTGACTCTGATGACCCAGACTCTGATGATTCAGACTCTGATGGCAATCCAGATCTTGGTGGCAATTCAGACTCTGGAAATATGCCAGACTCTGAAGATGGTCAAAGCTCTGGAGGTCAATCATCTGAAGCTAGAAACTCTGAAGCTCAAGACTCTGAACAAGTTCAGAGACCACAAAGAATCAGAAGCGTTCCCAGAAGATTTGCAGAATTTGACATGCTGCAAGACACTGAAGTAGACTCTGAAGGAGAAGTTATTCAGTGTGCCATGTTAGTAGACTCTGAACCTATAAGTACAGAGGAGGCTCTTAAGCAGAAGCTTTGGCTGAAGGCCATGAAAGAAGAACTTGATGCTATAGAGAGAAACAAGACTTGGAAGCTGACAGAACTTCCAAAAGACAAGAAAGCCATCAGCGTCAGATGG